AGGGGCCTCCCTGGCCGAGCGGTATCGCCGGTCCAAACGCTCTGTTAAGCGTGGAGGTAGCGGGTTCGAATCCCGCCGTTACCATGGATGTATTCTTTGTGATGTCTTTCTCTGAATTGTTCTATCTCTATTTTCTACTTGACTTATAAGCCTATATTGAGCACACAAGTCAGCAAATGTATGTAATTTCAATAAAATATATGTAATATATGAGTAAACATCTTTAGTTCACTTTCACATAAATTCCATTAATGAAGGTGTGTGTTTTTCTTTCTAGGTTCGCGATTTAATAGCCAGCGATCAACTAAACGTAGTATCTGAAGAAATAGTGTACAAGTCGATTGTTACATGGATTCGACACGATTCCTCAGCAAGGGAGCGATACTTAGGAAAAGTAAGTCTATACTTGGACAACAATTATTTTGTAAACAGTAAATAAATGTTTACACTTCTGTAAAATATATATGAAATATATATTATCAACGACAATCAGAATTTTTCTTCTTCTGGCTATAATCGCCCATTTCGCTACTATTTGTCGCCTATATCACTTATTTCGCTTCTGTTTATAATTTGCTTATTGCCTAGAAATACTTTTTTTTAAATCATGAAATACTATAGATCTGTGTCTTATATTCGCTTCGTTCATCAATTGCAAAAAGTTATAAGAGTTTAAACGAAAAAGTATTCAATTGAAAGACTCTAAAATTGTTTATTGTATTAGCATGCAATGACTTTCAAATAAATAAAAAACGGCAATAAATTTCAAACAAATTAGAATTTCAAAATAATAAAAAAGGCCATTTTCTATAAGTTCATAACTGAAAATGGCCCGTCGATACGTCATATTTCAACTCTGTAATTTCATTCCATCGGGCAGTAAATCAGCGCAAATGTTATTTGTATACAATAAATTTATCACTTGATAATTCTAGATACATTTAGAAATTGATAATTTTTGATAAATTTAACAGTCAGAGCAGTGGTGGCTCAGGGGATAGGGCACTCACCTTCCAAAGATGTGAACTGGATTCTAATCGCAACGATGACTGGTCGGTCGATACGAATTACGCACCCGACTCGTACCGACCACTGTGATGACGTGAAATATATTCAATGGTAGATGGATCATGGGTTAGCACCCCTTGACATCAGACAAACCATGTGAGGGTTTCGAGGTTTTCCTCTCCATGTAACGCAAATGCGGGTTAGTTCCTTTAAAAAGTCCTATACGAAGGCAAATTTTTCCCAATACTTGATCCCGGAGTTTCTTTGTCTTCTGGATAGGGTTCAAAATTAAAAGGCTACGGAGTCGAACATTTGTAGTCGTAAGTCAAAAATTGGGTCGGCTGTTCAACGACGTTTATAAATTTCTATAATATTTCAAAAAGTTATTAATGAAAAGGTGCTATTAGATATTCGCATGTCATATTATCGCATCATAAATATCGGGATTTTGAAAAATGTGTAGCTTTGCAGAAAAAAAAATACCGCAAAAACGATCGAAATACGACATGAGTTCAAGATTGTATCGGCGCAAACTATTTTATTCATTTTTATTAAGAACTGAAACTAAATCGCCACTTTATGCAAATAGAGATTGTTAACTTGGTAGCCATTTTATATGCAATGGCCACCTGTTGGCGACCGGTTCTCTAGAGATTTTGTAGAGGTTGGCGGTTATGTTTGGGCACCATATGATTGCATCTTTGAAAAATATATCACTCGTCACGTATTTTAATCAAATGTTTGTGTCAAGAGTTACGTTAATGTTTTTTTTTTTTTTTTTTTTTTTTTTTTTTTTTTTTTTTTTTTNTTTTTTTTTTTTTTTTTTTTTTTTTTTTTTTTTTTTTTTTTTTTGGTTTTGGTCACTCTGTATGTATTCGTAGTTTCTTGATTTTTATTTCGGTGTGTCTTAAACTGTCCAGTTTTCATTGAATTTTGATGTTGTTAGTTTTCAACGTTTTTAAAATGTGTGCATTTTTATAGCGAGTATACTAATTCAAAATAAAGCAGTTATGAAAATAGTCCAAACCCGTACAGGCATTTTTCGTCCATTTTTCTATGTTATGTTTTACGTTGCTATGCTAAACGTTTTTTTTTTTAATGATAACACGGAATATAAAATGATTATATTTATATCTATGAGAGATTTTAATGATAACACGTAACGTTAAATGATATAATAAAATATTAAATAACATAAATATTTACTTACATGAAATATTTTAATGATAACACGGAATATTTAATGATCATACCTATTTATATTAAAGATAACACGGAATATTAATTTATTATATTTACTTATATGAAATATTTTAATGATTACACAGAGGAATCGGACAATCCACTGAATCAATGAGGAATAAACTGAAAGAAAAACGAATAAACTGAGACTGGCTGAAAAACAAGCGAAAGAATTAAAACAAAAATAAATGGGGAAAAGGTCTCTATAATAACTCCATGCATCGAAACGCATTGATCTGAAGATGAAAGCAATCCACAAAGGGACAATGCTTACAAGAAGCAAAAAAATTAAATGCACATTTCTGAGAAATCGAACTTTGAAAAAGTGGTATTTTTAAAATTCAACTTCTCAGAAACTGTTCGACAGATTTTGCTCGAATTTTGTTTTTTTTTTCTCATGTAAAAATACATTCTCTAAAATGATGTAGAAAAAAAATTGTTAACCTTGCAATCAAAAATTGTTTTCCACTATTATAAAATTAACTAATAAAAAATAGCAAATACTCATTAAAAGCTGTTTTTGCATGGAATTATCTTTAGCTAAATAAATTTTATAATTGTAGGCAAAATTTTTTTATTTCGCTTAAAATATTAAGATATGGCGTAATACGCAAAGAGTAAAATTAATAATTAAAGAGTCCAAACTTTGGACAACTCTAATGACCAAAATATTAGAATCCTATTTCTCAGTTTGAAACATGCCCCCTATATATTAGGGATCAAAAATCCGAATCCGAAATATTTTAAAAAGCATATTCATTCAGAGAAAGTAAGTTTTTATGACTGATTTTGTATCTTAAAATATCGTTTGCTCTAATTAATTAACATATTTGATGCTTTGAACCTTTGAGATAGAGTCCCTAGAACGTGAAGATTCTATCATTAGATCAAAAATTATTCAGGGGGATCCGTTTAATTTTTTCTTTGATCTCTGTATATATATCGAGAATATCATTAAAACTGTCGAAAAATATCGTTAAAAAACAGAAGAACCGATTTCAGATTTGAAATCAACGGCGTGAAAATTTCATACAACTGAAAAAAAAAGTCCTTTTCAAGAGCAGTGGTTACCAACTGGCGGCCCGCGGGCCTCATCCGGCCAGCGAAGCCTTTTTTTTTTGTAGCCCGCGAATCAAAATATATTAGTTGTCATTTTTTTTGCAGACAATTTTTGTACAAAATTTATATGGGTTTTAAATTCTTTTAAGTTTTATATTTTAACATATCTGTTGCACATTAATTGTTTAATACATAGGTGCACATAAAAGTTATTGCAGCCGAAATTTCTTAATATGCAATTAAATATTTTTTAAAATCTACTTTTTATTTTAATTTGTAATTCAATACTTTTGTTTTGTGCAACTTGATAAAAATCTGACAGTTTATATTTTATGTTCCTTCAAACATAAAAGAGTCCCATACAAAATTTTGATAAAGTTGCGGCCAGCCATTTGACTGGTGTTTTTAGTTGCGGCCCCTGGCCTCATGTTTGCTGGAAACCCCTGCTTTAGAGCAATTCTTAATTTTTGAACAAAGAATACACCAGGAGTAAGTAGCTTTTTGAACATTAAATTGCCTTTTATTTTCACGTAACTTCATATTGACCATTAGCATAGACTGAAGATGGAAAAAACTAAGCAATCATAAGTAACTGCAACCGCTTTTAGATTCTAATTCCATGATTGTTTTTCATTGCAGTTGTTGCATCACGTCCGCCTACCTCTGACGGGGAGGGACTTCTTGTTGGCCCAGGTGGCCGATGAGCCCCTACTACAGGGCAGCCAAGAAGGAAAAGACCTCCTGATAGAGGCCATGAAATATCACCTCCTTCCCGAACAGAGGAACAATATGGTGTCAGTGAGAACAACATACAGAAAACCGGAGGGGCTCAGGCCGTATCTCTTCGCAATAGGTAAATTTTACTGGAAGCAGTGTAATATCACTGAATTTATATTGAATCTCACGCGTTCCAGCAAACTAAGATTGGTAAAGACAACTTTATAACCGTCGTGGAACAGCCCACCCAATTTTGGATTTACGACTACGTAAACTCAGTAGCTTTGTAATTTTGAACCCTATCCAGAAGACAAGGGAACTCCTGGATGAAAAATTGGGAGAAATTTGCCTTCCTGGAGGACTTTTCGAGGGAATTAACCCGCATTTGCATGGAGAGGAAAACCACGAAAACCTCTCACGGCTGACGACGAGAAGACTCTAACACATGATCCGTGTACCACTGAGGGTATTTCATGTCAGCAGTGTGGTCGGGGCATGCCGGATGCGGAATTCATATCTACCAGTCATCGCTGGGATTCGAACCCGGTTCACCTCATTGGAAGATGAACGCTCTATCGCATGAGCCATCGCGGCTGTGGTAAAAAGAACTGTACAACATATGGAATTGTTGCCTCTTAATCGTCTTCAACCATCCCGAGAATAAGAATAGGCTTTTCCCTTGAATGTTCTTTAGCGCCTTGGGGCAAGCCTTTTTACATTGATATTTGTCCCGAAATGTTCTTTCATGGCAGTTTTCAAGTAGCCAAAAAGAAATCGGGGGATGCCACGTCAGGACAGAAAAGCGGCTGGGCAACCGTTGGTACTGTTTGAATTGGCCAGGAAGTAGGCCATGAAAAAGACAGAATGCCGAGGTGTGTTGTCGCAAAGTCTTCAAATATAGTTTTTTTTAATTTTTAGATCGGAATTTTTTGGAATGTATTATATCTGTGTCACTAAATGATTTCTCAATTAACGGTTTGAGTTCAATAATTCAGTCACATTTTCATTGATGGAGGTCGTTGGTGACCTTCCTACAAGAACCTCACTGGTAAGGGCCACTCACACAGAGTGCGAACAATTCGCTTAAGTGTATTCGGAGATGCGAGCAATAATCTTATTGGCGAGTTTACCTTTCACTAATTACGTTCTCGTTCGCATCTCCGAATTCGCATTAACGAATTTTTCGCACGCAGTGTAAATGGCTCTATAGACAAGGCGTTCTGACAAACAATGATCACCAAAAACTGGCTTTTTTTAATATTTTATAACATAACCGTCGTTGAACACCCGACCCAATTTTCGGGTTTACGACTACTAATGTTCAACTACGTCGCCTTGTAACTTTGAACCCAATCCAGAAGACAAGGGAACTCCTGTATCGAGTATTGGGAGTTATTTGCCTTTGTGCAGAACTTTTTAATGGAACTAACCCGCATTTGCGTTACATGGAGTGGAAAACCACAACAACCTCCCACAGTTTGCCTGACGGCAAGAGGACTCTTACCTATGATCCGTCTACCACTGAGGAGTTTCACGTCAGCACTGTGGTTGCTTGTGTCCCGAAAAAAGAAATTCCAATGAATACTCGCAGATTTTTACATAAAACTTAATAGCAATCCTTCCTGCTCTACTTGGTGGTTTGCCGAAGAGACAAAAAGAGGATAAATGTCTTTCTTTATTCACCGGATCGTCGAACCACACATGTGTAAGCTGATCACCCTGTTTATCGATATTAACCTATCTGAACACGTAAAAACTTCACAATAAATTCAGTGATATTAATTTCCGAATACATTTTGTAATCCTTATCTAACTTCAGACGAATACTTTATTTGAATGCGCAACTATGCAGATTCCGTCGTAAATACCATTGGCTTTAACTTTTCAATAAAAATGTTGGTCTGAGGTTTTCTTTGAAATTTTATTTCACAAAGTTAGTGTTTCAACCTAACGAATAAATTAAAAACTTGTATTAACGTACGTCGATATTTATTAATTATTCGCAATTACTCGCATACAATTATTATTATTTATTCTACTGTCAATCATTATTCTTCTGGTGGTAAATTTGAAACAATTAAAGAAAAATAATTATACACATAAAAAGAATAGCTGAAATTTAACTCGCTGCTAGTATGTTTAGATCAGCCATTTTTTGCCTTCTAAACTAAGAAAAAAAAAATTTATTATTTTTTATTTAAGGCTAATTAAAAACAATTTGTTTTAAATACGTTATTAAATCATTACTTTACATTTTGCTTTAATAAATAAACTGAAGCAAACATATAATTTTCTGTGCTTCGTAGACAGTGAAATTTGCTTTTGATCATTTCAGTCGGGATAGCGTGATTAGTATGGCACTGGTGTTGTTGTTGTTAATNCTAATAATTTGGCACAGGGACTGTAGCGAAGAAGGACGCTCACTTAGTGTTGTAAGAAGTATCAGTTAGTATTGCTGTCAAAAGCAAGTTAAACACTTTATTTTTTTAAAATGTAACTGCTGTCTGATAAATTGAAAGAGACGATTTTTTTTTTTCATGCAGGTGGTGGATCACTATTTGCTATTCATTGCGAATGTGAATACTACAATCCTAGAACTGACCGGTGGTCACCCATCGCTTCCACATCACACAGGAGATCTCGAGCCGGTGTGGCTGGAGTTGGAAGACTGGTTTATGCGGTTGGAGGGTAAGTCTTTTTCAATCTCTCCATAAACGAAACCTAATTAATCTGAAAATTCATCAATGATCAATCAGTTACTAGTAGCAACCAATAGGAATATATTTCTATTCATATGGATCCATCCAATAGTGTGTAAACTAGCGGTTTACCATTTTTTTCATCTAGAAAATCTTCTACTGATCAACCCTTAGACTTAACCCTAGATCTCTTTAGCAGAACCATTAGACTTAATAAACAGAAACAATTGTGAACAACAAAAGATTTCTAATTACTTTGGAAAATATTTTGTATGAAAAAGAAATTTTTTATCCACCACTATTTCATCAATAAGTTTTAAAATTTGATTAGGCAGCTGAATTTACAGTCATCAAGTCCAGTTTTCAAAATAATTTTGTCGAATGAATACGCTGAAGATGAATAAGTTGAGGGACGGCTTTCGTTGAAATAAAAACGAAAATGGGAGGAAATAAAACAAAGAGAATGAATATAAAAGAAGTATGTTTCTTTATTGATGAATTTGGTTCTCATTTTAAATTTAAATGTTCAATGTGAAACACAAAGGAATTTTCATATAAATACATACCTTTTCATTATTCATTTAATCTATTGTTATTAGGTTATATATATTTATATACCTGCTGAAAACTGGCTGGAACTGGAACTCATAGAACTGGTCTGACTTCGTCAGTACGGAAGAGGATAAGCAGCAACATATTTAGATAAATTTTGCTTTTTTCAAAAATTATAACTGGTTAAGAAAAAAAGACCGTACCTGACGGAACTCTCTGACCCATTCACGGAACCTTGTTTCTGCGGAACACCTTTTTGGAACTGCTAGTGTAAGCAACAGGTTGCTATTCAAAACCATGAAATTACGGCTATTGATTGAATTAAACCAGTCATGTGCTAATGTCTAGTCTCTAGCTTGGACCAGAGTTACTTCCATCGTTAAAGAGTAAAAGTTTCTTTCGTTTTGTTTCTGTAAATTTTGACTCTACCAATCAGAGAATGTTACACATATGTCGTAACTCTCAAAGGAAGTAACTGTAGCTTGGAAATTTTTATTGTATGTTATACCGTACGGTTTTCACGGAAACATACTTGAGATGAGCCTTTCCAATTTCAGAGGCCTGTATGATCACATAAATATGATTTCAATTGGAAATGTTTTCTCGGCATTAATTGAAATTATATCAAATGATCAATCAGTTACTAATAGCAACCAATAGGAATATGTTTCTATTCATATAGAACAGTCCAATAGTGTGTAAACTAGCGGTTCACAATTTTTATAAGCTAGGGAATCTTCTAATTTTCAACCCCTAGACTTAATGATTGATTGATCTAAATTTTGGCGCCATGGTTTGGCTATACCACGCCCAAAACTAGGTTAAAATTACTGTAACTAGGTTAAAATCATAACAACTAATTAAAAATTACTGTAACTTTGTTAAAATCAGAACAACTAGATTAAATTGAGCAACTTGTCCAAAATTAAAACAACTCATTTTAAATTTGGCAACTCGGTGATAACTAGAGCTAAATCAAATTGTAAAACCTGATATGTTTGATGTAGAGTATTAAGTTTGGATGTTGTGTGTCTCCAAATAAAAATGATGAAGTCGGAAAATTGCAGTTAAAGAATTAGACTTAATGAACATAAAAAAAAATTGTGAACAGCGAAAGATTTTTAATTATTTTGGAAAATAATCTGTGTGCAAAAAGGACATTTTCCATCCTCCATGGTTTAATCAATAACAGTCTTAAAGTTTGATTAGAGAATTGAATTCACTGGCATGTAGTCTGATTCTCAAAATAATTTTGGTGAATGAATACGGTGAAAATAAGCAAGTTGAGGTATTGCTTTCGTTGAAATAAAAACGAAAAAGGGAGGAAATATACAATGAGAATGAATATAAAAGGAACTTCAGGATGTTAACCCAACTTTGTTTTAGGTTTGAAATCAGGAAGTTTCTTATCAAATATACTAGGTAGGCAGATAATGGGCTAACATTCTTTTACCATTGGGTTTTAACATTGGGAGGTTTTCGTGTTGTCTTCTCCATGTAACGCTAATGTGGGTTAGTCCCACCAAAAAATTTTCCACGAAGGCTAGTTTGTCCCAATATTCCCTTGTCTTTTAGATTGGGTTTAAAATTACAAGGCTACGGAGTTGCATCTTTTCTAAGAGATTTTCTATGCGCGGTAACTGATTGAATCTAAGGCAATGTAATTCGGGAAAATTTTCTATTCGCTTATTTGTGAGTTTCAAGGTTCATTTTCATGAAATTACTTACTTCTTTTTGGAAAAAGGAAAACATTTGCCTTCGTATTTCCCGCAATGAAGATTTTCAATCGTTCTGCGAATCAGCAAAAATGGACATCGGCCATTCTAGGTCCTAAATTAGTCTAAAATGAACCATAATTAGAAAAATATTTATAAAAGCCACTCTAGAAATTTGTTTCCCTCCCTGCTTTACGTTAACATATGGTTGGCCATCAGAACTTATAATATTGGGCTTAAACCTAAACATGCCTTGAAAAGTGTGGTCTCTTGTTAGGTTAAGCACATAAAGTAGGTAATATTGTGAGTTTGCTATAAGGTTGGTCAATGTTCGTAGTCAATTAAGTGTGATCAATTATTGCATTGCAAGGTAGTATAAAAAAGACTCTTTCAATGTCTAGAGCAGGGATGGACAAACTTTTTTGGTCGTGGGCCAAAATCTAGAAAAAAAAGTTTGGTGGGCCGAGTATGAACTTCTGAAATAAAATAAAGTCAATTCATCATTGAGTGCATGTACTTTGCTACATCAACTTTGCGATTTTTAGTTGCCATTTTGGGATAAAAAATGTTTACAAATAACTCAAAGGCAGTAGCCATTTTATACATTAAATAATTTCGCCATTATTTACAATGACGTTGTATGTGTGCAACCTTTCCATACGCAGTAAATTATGTTAGAGCTCGAGCCGACAGAAACGTTCGTTGGCTCTTAAAACGTTTCTGTCGGCTCGAACGTTCGTTGGAACTTAAAACGCGTAGTCAGCCTCATGTGAAGTACAATTCACCTATATTAGATTCCATATGTCTGCTCCTCGAGAAAGACAAATACTAGTTGGAGCTAATCTACAGCTATTCTATAAAGAACTTTTGCTTTCAACATTTTACCAGTTAAAGCTGTTTGTGCTAACTATTTTAATTAATTTATGTTTTGTAGAACAAAAATAGAGAAAGTGGAAAGGTCATCAGTACTTTGTTAATAAAGAAAGAACAAAAATAGCTTTAAACAAAGTAGATATATTCGCCACTGATCAGCTAGTTAAAATTCTGTCCGCGGGCCGGATAAAACCTTCCGGCGGTCCACAGGTGGCCCGCGGGCCGTAGTTTCCCCATCCCTGGACTAGAGATACCTTTGGTGTCTAAAAAGTACTTTTTTTTACTACATGTGTTCTCTAATGGATGGTTGACTGAATACAAACAATAACAATCTTCCTAATACCGGATGATATTTAGAAAACTTCAGATGTATTCCTCCGCCTATGTTATACTTACGAGGTGCTGTGTGAACAGGTTTAATATTCCAGGAAGTTTTATTAACGTGATTCAAGTTCAAATTTGCTCTTAAATGATGCCACTCATACGAATTTTCTGTAATTTATAAATTCTAACAGGCCGTAAGCCTAAAAGAAATTTAACAAAGTTAATATCACAGTATAAATGGAGTGTAAGGTTAGCCATGTTTTGTGAGTTATCCCTCATTTGCTGATATTTGTGAAAAATAGCAGTTTGTTATTTTTTGAGTAGCATCATAGCTAGCTTGCGAATTCATTTGTTGTTCGTTTCGTTGAAAGTTAGATAAAAAAAATGATTTACATTGAAAACACTAAAGTATAATTATGAGGGTCATTTAAATAAAACCTGGTCAGTGTGTCTAACTTTGCATTAGACATAATGGTGCTTCACGTAACTGCGTGTATGGCGGCATCATCTATTGGTAGAGAGACTGACGCACGCGCAAACGTTTGACGTTGCATAGCGACAAGTGTGGTTTCACGTAGGGCTGAAGAACCCTGCGTGAAACCATAAACATAGTTCAAAAAAATTACTTGGCCTTTATATTAAAAAAAATACCATTTTAAACTTATAAAAATGTTTTACTAGTTGGCGAAACTGACACTATAAATACTTTATTTTAAAAAGTTCAGTTTTAACTTTAATTATTAAGAAAAATGAAAGCATATATCGACACTTTTTTTATCTACATATTCTTTTATAACAATAAGTTGAGTTAAATTTAGAATCCCTGATTTTAAAATATGTCGTTAATAGCAATTTGTTCATACTTAATCATTAGGAAACATCAACCTTAAACGCTAATTACTGAAACAAAATAATAATTTAGGTTCATAATGACATTAGAAATTTTACAATTGTTTATAGACATTTAAATTTACGATGATATAATTTATAGATATTTAAATTGAAGAGAATATAATTTTTAAAAAAAATCATAAATATTTAGAATAACTACATTAAAAAATATGTTATGAAATTAGGAGAATTTCAACTATATACTATATATTTTATTTATACTTTTTACTTACATTTTAATTTTCTTTGACTTTATCTATTTTTTAATTCTTTTCACCTGCCTTTCTTTATGAAGTAACGAGGCGGTTTCTATTTAGATAATGAATTTTTATAAAAGTTCTTAACGACAGAATAAACGTATTGCTGTTTTATATTAACTGTGTCATTTCGGAATCCATTCTTTACATAGTTGTTCATTTACTTTAGGGAACACGCGGAAAATTATATTTTTTCCTTTTGTTTTTCTATCAAAATTTTTTCAAGTTGCAATCGCGGAAACTGGCATTTCGATAATAGTTTTAAATTCTTGTAAATTCACTGCAAAAACTGAGGGAAGTCATTATAGAAAATAACAAATATCTTAGAATATCTCGCAAAAAGAAATGCTCCAATATTAGTTAGAGCTAGTAAGACCGAAAGCTCCGTTCTTGAAGTAAAAGTGCGAGCTTTGCGCCAAAGTGACGTCACTAGAGAAAATCGGAGGATTGGAGCGGCAAGAGCTACTTCAAAGGAGTGAACCAGCCCTTCTATTCTCTTTAGCCCTGGGTTTCACGCCGAAGAGAAGGTGGTCAAACTAGTTATCGTCTACTACGGAACACGTAGGCGAGTAAGCAGGAACACTGAGGAGTGGGGACGCTGGAACATCCACCGTACAGTCCAAACCTTTCACCGTGTAACTTTTATGTTTTTGGATCTCTGAAACAAACTATTCGTGGGCATCGATTCACAACGGACGACGACGTGTGCGACTAGGTTCCAGGCCTGGATTCGACAGCAGCCTACTAGCTTCTTCAAAGATGGAATCGACCGGCTAGTGTCGCAATGGGATAAATGTGCCAACAGTTTTGGCGACTATTTTTGAGTATGTGTACTGCGTATAAATACATTTGTGAGTTGATAAAATCGTTACCCTTACTTTACACTAGTGACCGGGTTTCATTTGAACGCCCCTCATATGTTAGATAGTGCGTTTTTTAAAGCTTATGTGTAAAAATCATTCGGAAGTTGTAACCCAAAAGTCTTCCGACGAATTTTAACCCCATGTGTCATCTGTGCTTAGTTATACACGGTCAACCATCCATATTCAGCAGCAGATATGAACCTTTGATATAAATATTCTTGCACGTATAGTTATGATGGCTCCAAGGATCTGTCTTCAGTGGAGTGTTACAATCCTCTGACCAATAAATGGTTGCCTGTGCCACCGATGGGGACGAAGAGGAGTTGCCTTGGCGTCGCTTCCCTCAACGGACTGCTCTACGTGGCAGGGGGATACGACGGTGCATCCTGCCTCAACAGTGTCGAGAGATACGATCCCCTAGTCACCACATGGTCCTCTGTCACAGCAATGGAAACCAGGAGACGATACTGCAGGATGAGTGTCTTAGGTTTGTCTTTTCTTTTCACTTCGCATTAATGTTGACTTCATTTGATATAATGCATTTTTGTACTTGGCTGTAAAAGTCACCACAGTGAGAACTTTTCTTCTATTCTCCAAAGATCTTCAGCATCCTTAAACCTTCTACAAAGCAATTTTGTTTTTTTAATTGGTTTCAAAATCAAGACAGAAACTCCTACGACAATCCACACCCTAACACTGCCAGTAATTCCACTTATTTAAGTTATATCGCGTTAAATATGCCTAAAATGATTGATGGAACGCGAAAAAAAAAGGTAACGCGTAATTTTACTTCCAAATCACTCCAGAAACATTTTTGCAATTTAAGAATAGTATTTGTATTAGAAACAATTGGTGACAAAAACTTATTATTCTTATTTATGGATGGTGTTTGTTTTCTACACTAGGGTGCACTGCAAACTCTTCACTGCCTATGCTTCCGGGTTACTGTTACCGGTAAAAGAGAATATAATGTATTATTAACTTTTGAAAAGATTACTCTGCTCTTCTAAGGAAAATTGATAGACTACTTTGACTTATTCTTTGCTGAATGATCACTAAATCAATTACTTATCGCCTTTTTTTTCTCTTAATGATAATATATCTACTTTTTTATGTACTGTGTCTTTAAATGGGCATTATATACTATTTTAAATAACATCCCGTTTTTAGTATTTAATGATCCAAAGATTTCTGGAGTTCTAAGGTTACACATTTTACAAATTCTAGCGAGACCAGCAGATAAGAAAAATTTCAGCAGATTTTACAAAATATAAATTTCACGATAATTGTTTGCATAATGTACTAAATATTTAACGCACAGGGAATTTCAGTCACCAAAAAAGAAAAACTGCAATATTTTCCCGACATGATTGGCATTAAAAAATATGCTTGAAATGTTGTGTATTATGTTTACTCATAATTTTGAATAGTAATAGGCAACTAATTATTAAAAAAATAAAGACTTTTTAATTAATTAAAAAAGGCTAATCTGAATTTATATTAACTGAACATTTTAAAACAAAACAATTTTTAAACTGTTTTCTATAAATAAGCCTATCCCTCCATTATACAGGGTGATTCTAAAAAGATGGGCAAAATTTTAGGAAGTGATAGTACACACCCATTTAAAAATAGGT